GAGTGAAAAAGTGATAATCAGTTCAGCAGACAGTGTCCCTTTTGGAGGTCAAATATCAGTCTGTGCCACAAATATCTCACCCTCAATTCACCTGGCCTCCATCCTCATTACGTCAGCGGGACCAATGAGGGCATGGGGTTGATCATGTGACCCATCCCCCAGCCAGTCACTGCTGCTGGGTGTGCCAGCTTCTGCTTTGGCACCCATTGGTGGAGTGGGAGTGAAGGGGTGGAGTTTGGGTCTGATGCCTGACAGGCCATTGGTTATCATGACCCCTGTATGTCACAAAGTTACTGGGTTGTTACCGAGTTATAAATTTGAAAAAGACCAGTCCAGCTTAAGCGCCACATCATTATTTCTCCATGGCAACCTGGACAAGCCTGATGGCTTCTCTGAAATGCGGCAATCCAGCCTATCTATTTCATTGTTTATTTTTTTAATCACAGATGCCCGCATTTTGTTATAACTTCACTAAAGAAATCAGGTTTTCCTCCATTTTCCTTTACTTTGAGCTGCAGGCAATAAATACATAAATAAATAAAAAGATCACAAACCTCCAAAGCTTTTCTGACTTCCACCACTTTTCCCTTTGATTCTCTGTTAAAAGTCACAACATTTCTAATGGAATATCCAGCCAAATCTGCTCTGGGGCTCCCCCTTCAGGCCTTATTGATGACAACAGCATAACCACAGCCTTGAAGGTGACACAGATTTGGATCAATATTGCCACCTGGGCTGCATACCACAGGAGCGGGTTCATAGAAAGTTTGAAGGGATGCTCTTAATGCCGAAAAAGTACAGAGTAGCTGACTGATTGTGTAAACGGCACATTGATTGTCTAAAATACATCAGGGAGGCTATATAAATTCTCAAGGACTTTTTCTTTGGTACATTCACAAGACAAATTCAATCCTGCACCTGAAGAATAAAGGAGCTCTGACACTCATGCTCTTATTTTATTCCAAGATGAAGGCGGTGGTCCTTAGGACTGTAACTGAATCTGCAAGTCTGTGGCGTAATATATACTGACCAGCAGGTTCACGTCCTTTGACTCCACCAATCATCTACACTCAAGTCGTTTTCCCACACACCTCACATCCAATCAGCAGCCCTGAGTCCTGGAGGACTCTGGTTTCCTGTGGTCTTTTGCCCAGTAGACTTCAGGAAGCCTGGCACCTTGGCTGGGACGGCGCTTGCTTGATCTTGGAGCAATAAAACCAGTTTAAATCAAATTCATTGATTCTTTTGTGACAGCGTCAAATCTGCATGCTTTTTTGTGAGCACGGTTAGTGATGATCTATGTTTAATCTAAAACACAGCCAGAAGCGCAATGGTACAATCCCAATGGTGTTTAAACATCTAAAAACCAAGTGTGACGTGGTCATATTTTTCCAAAAACACACTTTGAGGCTGGTTAAATATACTCATGCATGCATTCCATTTATTTCAAACATTTTAATAAACTAAACTGACCATCTGTTTAGATAATGCAACAAAATCTGGAAAGGGTTCATGATGTTCTGCAGCCTAATAATTGATATCATTAATCCATAGGCATATGCCGATGCAATTTCCAGATCCACTGTTGGAAGAAAAAAATCAGATCAGATATTTAAGCAGCATTAAAAAGCAAAGGTTTTTTTCTGAGGATTCCTACCAAGGGTACAGACTGTCTAGACAGCTGTGTTTCAGTCAGGAGAGGATGACAGAGACAGCGGCGACGATGTAAAATGTAGAAACATGAAAAATGTAAGAAATTATCGCTGGGCTACGCATGATCTGAAGAAAATATGAAAGCAGACATTCATTAAGTGGTTTGTGATGAAAATATTCTGCTTTATGAGAAACCAGCCTCATCTTTTCTAAAACGGCAATAGAGCAGAATATGCCTCCGGAGATTCTCTCCATTGAGATACTCACTCCAAGAGAGACCAGCTCTGAGAGACCAGTTTGCTTTTTCAGACAAACTAAATTCACAGGCAATTGGTACTAAATGTTAAAGAAGGTTTCCTCACAGGGCAAGGTTAGCTAGCAAGAATGATCCAGAAGCTGTCTGCCCTGTGTTTGCATGTGTCCTGCATGGGTATGTGTCTGTCTCCTGTGGTCTGCTGCCCAAAGTGAGATGATCCCGTTGAAGGTGCGTGAGTCTGTGTCTTGCTTGACTTTACTGCAGTAAAACCAGTTTAATCAAACTCATTGATTGTTTTGTGACACCATCAGATCTGCATGCTTTTTTTGTGAACATGCTACATCAAAAGGTCAGTGATACAGATCTATGTTTAATTTCAAAATTGCCAAGAGCGCAATGGTACAATCCCAGTGGTGTCCTAACATTTAAAAACCGAACAATCGTGATGCGGTCATATTGCTTTGAAAACATATACGGCATGCAGAGGCGGGGAGTTCAGGTCCAGAGAGTAAAAGTCCAGACCAAGATTTTGTTTCAACCGTCTGTGACTGTGACTCTTTACAGTTAACTGGTTGGTTGAAACAAAATCTTGGTCTGGAGGTGGTGGTTTCCTCAGCTGTGCACCGTTAGCTGCCAGAAACGGTTCATACTGGGTTGCCCTCCGCCTTGTGTTTACATGTGCCCGTCACCATGGAGACCACGGGGCATCTCGGGACCTTCGAGACGACGGCGCGTGAGCCACCTGATGGATGAATCATGGCACGCCTGTCCTTCTGCCTCCTTCACGAGCCAGTTGGCAGGAGGCACGGGCAAAGGAAGGGGCACAAACCAAGGAAGCGGAGCGAAAGCGACACACACTTCTAATATTTCATTCCAAACACTGAAAATGTTACGATTTCACAAGTGTATGGTGTCGTTGCAGAGGAAACCGGAAAACAAGAGGAGGGATTTGCGAGATTAATAAACTTAATCGGATGAGGGACACAGAGCATGCACTGAAAAGCTGTTTCACAAAATATCTTTGATTCGATTCTTGATGGGATTCTTTATTAAAGGGCGGCTGCAAAACCAACTGTCTCTTGGCCACATCTGTAATGACAATAGCAGGACACATCCCACAGGATAAGGGTCAGAGCCCCAATAAGGACATGAATATATGTACTGTGCGTATGTGTGTGTGTGTGTGTGGAGGGGGTTATGTATATATTACTTTGTGGGGACCAAATGTCCCTACAAGGTGATAAAAACTTTTGTTATTTCGTGGGGATTTTTTTGGTTTCCACAAGGATATCCTCAATTTTATAAGAATATGTGACTGCAATCAAAAAACGAAAAAAGTCATGCATTTTGTTTGGTCACTTATGGTTGAGGTTAGGGCTGGGTAGGGGTTACGGTTGTCATTGTTGGGTTTAGGGTTTTTCCCATAGAAATGAATGGACGGCCCCCACAAAGATGAGGATACATAAGTGTGTGTCTGTGTGTGTGTCTGTGTGTCTTTGTCTGTGTGTGTCTGTACACTTTTTGATGGACGACCCTTTGCCCTGTGATGCCCTGAACCAGCTCCCTACTATCTGGTACAAGAGCAGTTATAGAATAGATGGATTTATGGATGAATGGATGGATGGACTTTATAAAGTTTTTGTACCTCACAGATTCCCTGGTCCATTTGTGAGATGCAGAATAATCCTTAGGTATCTTTCAGCGACACAGATAGATTACAGTCTCCCTTGAGGAGAGAGAAGTGTTCTGGGCTCTCTCTTTCACTTTCATTCGTCTATCAAGAATGCGTCTTCCTCTAAAGCTGTGGTGCTTCCCCCGGCATCTGTCAGGGCGTGACAGATTTTTCTTTTTGCCAATAGCAGGTTTATTAAAAGTAAAGAGAAAGCCTAATGTTAACAATCTGTTAATGTCAAAGCACCATAACGAGACGATAGAGGTGAAAGATGGAACGATTGGAGACAAAGGTTAGAAAACGACAAATTACTGGCTGTCACAAACACAGAGAATGTTTTCCATCTAAAGACACAATGCTATTTAACAAAATACTCTCCCACGTAAGCCCTTCAAGGACACAGTTTATTGATTATAAAAAACACTTTTTTTTTTTTTTAACAAGAGACGGTTTATAAATAATATGCATCTCATGTATGGATAAACAACGACTCGAAGACTCAGTCAGGCAAAACACAAAGCTGGAAATTTGAAAAATCGACCGTTTAAAAAACAACTCAGTGTTAGTACGTGACAAAACTCGCCTCGAATTTTGAAATAGTGTATATTGCATATAGTATAGATTAGAACTGGAAGTGACTGATGTTGATTCCTTTAATTAAGGTAAACTGACCCTTCTTTACAGGCCTGAATGGTTATTGTGCTACCCACAGCCATACTGCAGATAGGTGCGATAGGAGGTTTAACCAGCCCATGTTACAGTCTGGGAATATTTCTTGTGAAGGGAATTCACTTTACCAAGACCTTTCTCTCTCCCCCGGTACAATTCTTCCAGGAGAGAAGGGACATGGTCTTTGTCAGCACAAATGCTCACACTTTCAATGCCAAAAGGTCTCTGATTCATAGATCCTCAGATACTGGTCCCAGTTTGGACGAAAGAGCGAGTAAAAATGATGACCGAAGCAGGAAAGAAATGTGCATGGACTTTTGTGCCCCTCAATGCCGGATCTTTTTTTTCTGATCTGGTTCTTCTTGCATAAATCAGGAAACTGTGTTTTAGGTTCTGGTACCATATGGTGCTGCTATTGAACAATCTTTGGATGGACTTTGTGTCTTCGCAACACAAAAACAAACACCATAGCAATGACACACTGCTTTCTGGATTCATCTCTTGTTCTCACAAAATACAAACAAAAGAATCCATGGGATCGATCTCATGTGTTCTTCTGGCTGAGTGCGTACTTGTAATTGACCAATCAGGCACTTCCTGAGAGCCAACTGAACACTTGTCACTCATCATTTCTTGGAAACCCAAAAGCTATTATATAACAAAATAACAGACTGATTTTCTCCAGAACGAAAGGACTCTTGTGCACCATGGGTGTCCCATTTTACTGTCAATCAGACATAAACCTATAAATTCTTTTACAGTGGAATTTAATGCAGTGCAACTCATACAATCCTGAAACAATGTGGTGCAGAATAGTAGATATCAACATAATCTCTTATTATATATATATATCTATATATATCTATATATATATATCTTTTCACCTATGTGATGCATCCCTGCACAAAATTAAGTTTAAAGTACATACTATGCATGACATCATTTGTTTTTTTTTTTCTAAAAAATCTCTAACATATCAGAATGAGTACATCAATTCAATTATTTCTCCTAGTAGTTCAGTAAACCAGCAAAGTGTCACATGATCTGTTACATGATCATGTGACTCTAGGTGTCCAGGATTCCAGGCCAGCATTCCGACCACAGTCAACTGGACTGCTGAGATCATGGGCGATGTGAAGGTTGGCCAACCACCCAGAGTGTAACATCTTTCTTTTTGGGGACCGGCACTTTTCAGGTCAAAGTTTGCAGTCTTCCCCTACTAAGCGTAGCTATCATCAGTTATCACTGTTGATCTTATCCCCAAGTTCAGCTAGTATATATGTAATCATTGACTCTAGAGGCTTATAAGCGGTCACCTGTATCTCTAGCACACAAGTCCATGTTTTGCTGTCCGTGTTGTTGGCTGGTCGTGGTTTTGATTGCGAGGGATCAAACCCTTGGGATGAAGTCCAGGGGCGTGAGCCTCGACTATGACATCATAAAGGAAGTGTGTGTCCATACAAGTCCAGCAGGTCCCCCGGCCCAGGGATCTGTGCTATTTCCTTTGGGGGGGGGGGGGGACATCCCTTGATGAGATGATGGATCCTCACTTTTGATGCTGCTTCAAGCTGAAAAGAGAGGAAGGGAACAAGGTTGCTTCTCACACTCCCTGAACCGAATGTCTCTTCCTCCTGGTGCTCTATTGCGCTATTCCAAGACTACGGGAAAGTTGTTCTATTACTGCAGCTGGGTGCTTATTGAAACAGTTCAGGTTAAGCTCCCAGCTCAAGGGGACAACAGCAGGGTCCCAGCTGAGAGGGAAAGACACCAGACGGCATCTGGGACTGAGCCCAGTTTTCTTAATCATTACCTCTCACTGCCGAAGGGGAAACCCTTAACGAACTGCGCATGCTTCTGCACGGCACTACAAAGCAAGAGTGGTAAATTGCTTTTTCTAAAACTTTTTTTTTTGTGATTAAATGGGCCAAGTAAGAAGCTGTGGGTGAACTTGACTGGCGGCGGCCATAGTTTGAGCATCTGGCCCCCTATCTCAATGGAGAGATGAGGAAAGATAGAAGGGGTAGCGCAAAGGAGGGAGAGTCAAAGGGGAAAACCAATGAATGGGCAATGGGTGAGGTTTACCACCACTCTAAATATGCATTTGTGTGGGGCTCCCAAGGATCGGAGGCCCCCTGGTGGCCACAAGGAATCATTACATGAGGGTGTGCCAAATTGGCTTTTTTGAGTGGTGCTCCAAAAACTGCAAACCTACCGCTGACCACCACCAAAAGGGTTGTCGGAACGTGTTTAATTATAGTAAATTTGTGTCTAGGGGGTCCCCACATTAACGTTATTCATTGGTACAGAAAGCACAACATTTGCCTATAGAAGTGTGTTGGGTGTCTGTTAAATGCAGCCCTTAATTATCCTTTTATATTACTAAGACCTGCACTTCGAATAAACAAGAAGGTTCAATCATCATTCCTATATAACATCTCATTTAATGTCATTTAATTTTTAGCATTGTTTCCTGTCTTTTTCCACAGCTGAAATGGCTTTTAAAAAGTAATCATTTTAATGCTGAAGATGGACTCGCTTTGTCTAATTAGTTGTGAAAGTAATATATTCTCAATTAGTCTGTGAAATATTTATTCCACGGCTAGACTTTTCAGCACTAGTTTAATAAATTAATTAGAACAGAGATAAGTAGGAGAAAGAGTACCCTAGAAATAGACCCTGTTTACCCCTGAGAAGTGCAATTTTCGGCTCCTGGGCCTTTGAAAAAGTAAACACAGATCTAGCCAGTGGAGAGACTCTCTAAAGTCCCCGAGCGATTCTTGGTTTTCCCACTGTTGGTTCCCCTCTTCCCCTTCCAAGACCCTCCGGTTTTCATGATCCCAAAAGTCAACAGATGGATTTAAGCTAGTCGTTTGAAAAATTTCTGGGACAACTACAGTAGAGTGCTGATTATCGCTTTGTCTGGACAGGATGTGGCATCACCTGGGCCTCTAAAACCAGCAAAGATGTGGGAGGTCAGACCGGCAAACCGCGCAAACAGACGCGTTTCAGGGCGCCACCATTAAAGCCAAACGGAACGTCTCAAACTCATCCACCCCGAGACACCATTGCTCAACATTTAATGAAAAAAAAACACGCGGCTTATCAACTCACCTTCAGGAAATGGGTAATGAAACATCCTCTCCTCCAGATTTACAGCGCTGTCACCCCGAATCGCCATGGTTTTCTATTTTAATGAAGAAAGACTACAGCGGGATGGAGTGGTTGGCACACACAAATCTGCACCTGCCTATCAACATTAAAGTCCACATCCCCCTGAGCCCAATACAGGCCATGTCACACTGGCTGATTACAGCTCTCCTCGTTCTAAAGTGTTGTCATGGTGGGGAGTGCTTAAATGACATCATCACAAGCTTAGCCTCGAGCCAGGGGAAACACTTGGGTTCTAGAATCATAACAGTATCTCCACAGTTTAATGAAAAATAATGTTACGCCCTGTGGATCCCTCCTTGCGTCTCTGAAGGTGAAACACGGGGGGGAATGTGCACCGGGGTGCCCCAGACAGAGCACACAGACAGTAGGCACAATCCCCGTCGCCTTGGCAACCCCCAGGCACCAGACAATGTGGCCCGAACATCACTAAGATGAAGTTCGGGGTGCTGCCAAGAATATACTCCTATTCCAGAAAGTTCAGACTCCTGAAATGGGGGGTGGGGGAGGATTTGTCCTGGCAGGCCAAACTGTCACAGCAAGGTACATAAAATTCATACTCTGCTGGCCTAGTACCCATTTAGCCTGTCGAAACATGAAAATTAAAAATTCTGACTCCCATCCATTCAAAGAAAATGTCAGGTCTAATACGTTTTTTAAGGGGCAACATGACCTCCTTGGTTTGGTAGAAAATCATTTTTCTATATTCTTCTGTGATATTTATCTATTATACGAGTCTGATATAAAATCTTTCTCATAAAACTTGCACTCGTGATCAACATAAAACAATAAGACACCCAGTGGCCACTTTATTAGGCACACCTTGCTAGTCAACGCAAACAGCCTGCTCCTCCAAACAGCCAATCACGTGGCTGCAGCGATATAGCACACCGGCAGGGTCGGGATGCCCAGCTCCTGGCTGGCTAAGCATTACAATCACTAAGACGTGTGATCTCTGATTAAACGCAGCATGATCGTTGGTGCCAGATATGGGGATCCCAGCTCCTGAGAAACAGCTTCCCTCTCTGAGATTTTCACACACTGGTGTGTAGAGTTTTACAGAGAATGGTGCGATAAACTGAAAACGTCCAATAAGCAGTAAATATGTCACCTTGTTAATGAGAGAGGGTCAGAAGAGAATGACCACACTGGTTAAAGTGATCAGGAAGGTCACAAACGCAAATAATAAGTGAAGAAATATTCAGCAAAAATGTTTGAGGGAAAAATGAGTGCCAAAATGATTTTTTTTAAATCACATTTTCAATCTAGGAAGAAGAATACTTTCAGCCATAGTTATATTAAATTACAGCCACTGTTAAGAAGCAGTGATTTTGGCTGATGGGAGGGATTCAGTCAATGGTACATGTGAGGGTATCTGATTAGGGCGCCATGGCAACCGAGCAATCGTCCACCTCCCAGGGGGACAAAGGATTTCACGTAGCGGCCCCACAACTGTTTGTAAATTTATGTGTGTGCATGTTTGTGTCTGTGTGTGCGTGGGTTGTGGGAATATTACATTATGGGGACAAATTGGGGATTTCAGGTGCACGGCGATTGAATAGATGATGTGGCCCTGGATTAAAGAGGACGATGCGAGGAAGATACGACAAAGAGCAGCAAGACTCGGTCGGATTAGTTGTTACGGATTGCGTCCGGGGAAGCAGCACAGAAAAACGCGAATTCGGGTAAACGGGGGTTTATTCGGGGAAATCACCAAAACACAGGACACAAACGCAAGCACGAACGTCAAAGACAGACTCGGAAGCACTAAATACATAGAATTGATTAACAACAACTAGACACAGCTGAGAACACAGGGATTCCACACGAGGTAACAAGGGGGCGTGGCACACGGGAGGATCGGCCGAGCAGGGCATGACATAAATTGGGCGACTAGAATGGTTGCAGCCTCTAGCTTTGTTGGTGAATCTCATTGATGCTCAACCAGGTATTTCTGAGGGGAGGAACACTGATGGATGGGGAGGTGCTGTGATCCATTCTTCTCCCGTCTGTCTGAATGACAGTACTGCTTGTGGTGTGTAAAACATCTCCAAAGCCAGCTTCCTCACTGCCTGAACATGCACGGCCACTAAATCCCTACAGCCAATGGGACCTCCTGCCTCGCTATGCTCCATCACTACAATCTCTCAAGCCCTTTCTCCTTCTACCAAAGCTTTTAAGGTGCCCCTCCTGCAAACAGGGGTATTTTTTTGCCCCATATAAAGACCGTCCAGAGACCGGGGGAAGTGCATCTGATGCTTTTATCATGGGGGAAAAAACCATAGGAGAAGTGAGAGCTTGAGATGACGGTGAAGCGGATCACTTGCGTGCTACCGCTCACTGCCAAGGCAAACCGCAGTGTAAGATGGAACAGAAAGTCACACTGCAAATGAAACTTTAATGTTAGTACTTGCGAGGCTGACAGCTCGATGCTGGTGGGAGTTTCTTGGTCGTTCGCTTTTGTAGTTTTTGTAGCTTATTCTGCCAGACAAGCAGCATAATTCGTTTTCGGGAGATGAGAAGACCAGTGATAGATTAATGGAACAGATCCTGCTCCAAGAAGAGCAGGGACACTGCGATACCTGAACATGCTGTCTGCCACAGCCTCTTTAGCCTTTTGCTCCCCCAGCCCTGGGGAAACTCGGGGGCAGTTAGCATGGACAGCTGGTGTCTCATTCTGGGGTTTCCGCCTCAACCTTGAGGAGTCCAACTCAACCACAACTACTACATGGCCCCAAACACACACTGACACGCACAGTGAGGTCATTCAGATGAATGGACAAAAGCAGCCCCCCCAAACCCCACTACCACTTGACTGATGGAAACAGAAATGAGTGTTTAATGGCATATGTCCCTTACGTTCTCGGGATGCGGAGATGGGGAATCCATAGCCAATTTGCTCACCCATGGTCATCGCTAATACTAAATTAGCTGCTGTGCAAACCGCACAAGATGAATTAATAAAGAAACATATTATACTTATTAATATATATTAATATTTAGGTTGATTGTGCATGATAATAGGATGTACTCCATTTGCAAAAAATGGTCCATTTCCTTTGAATATTTTAGTATGTAACGTCAGTTCGGTTGACGATATAACACTGACTTTCTAATATCCTGAATCCTGGGTCCCTCCGCCCCCCTGCCCCCATTATTCTTTCTCTCTGTCGCCTCTTCTTTGCTGCGGAATCACTTCCTTATCCAATCGGTTATGGCCGAACACACCATAAACTTCCCTTTGAGTTTACAAGGAAAAAAGTCCTAGAGGTGAAAGCTGGACCACTCGCACCCCCCACCCCCACATCATCCTCCCAAAACCTGCCCCTGCCCCATCTCATCCTAAAATGATCTACTGGCCCAGCATGACTACTCCCAGTAAAAGATAAGAGGTACCTAATCTTCTGAGGGCAGCTAGGAGATAAGGGCCAGTGACGTCAATGCAATGGATCAAGAGTCTCGTCTTTGATGCGTGTGACAGAGGGGAGTGGGCTGGACTCATCATATCGCAAAGACAAAATTCACAAAATCAAAGTTTGTTGGCAGGCTTTCGGCTGGGACTTTTAAGTAGGTGTCTGTATGCGTGTGTCGGCTTGCAGGCTCGGAAGTAAGGGCAGTTCTAAGAGCAGAGGGACAGATGAGTTATTCCATGCATCACTTTGTGCGACTCGTTGATAGATACACGACGTAGCTGCGACGTTTACGCCAGAGAAGGGCAAGGGGAGCTGGCAGGGGAGACAAAGGCGGCTGCGTGATTTTCCATTCTCACCACATCCCGCAGAAACCAAGCGGGCCAACGGACTCCCGTGGGGAGGGGGAAGAATCCCGGGTCACGCCCCTCTCTCCTCTGTGGCTCAAGCTAGGAAATGGACAAAGGCCGGGACACACTACCAGCAGTAAGGCTGAGCGTGAAGACAGGCCTGGACTATAAATGCTATTGTCCTAACTAGTTAGGTTGTTAGTTGAACCTGCCTGGGAAGTCCGAAGGGGATGGGGAGGGATGAAAAGGTCTGTGGAAGTGGCTGGGAGGGGGCAGGTGACGGGTTGGCCACCGGATCGGTCACAGCTAAGCTGCCTTTGTGCTGTGACACGCAGCACCCAGGGGGTCTCCTGTAGGCCAGGCTGCGACGCCGTGGCAACGAGACTCACATTCCACAACACGGGGTGAGTCAACCACACAGGCAATTTAGGGGCTGAATTTTTTTTTTTACGCAACCTTGCTTAATAAAGCTAAGAAAAAGCAACAACCAGAGGCAGACGACAACACGGGGGAGAGGTGACAGCTGTCCGAGGGGGCGGCTCATACCCAGACTTAATCAAAGCGAGCCGTCTCTCTCCACCCTTGACATTTTTTACTCAGGCACCCCGAAATCTGAATGAGCTAAAATTACTTCCTGTCAAAAATAAATACAAAGATTGTATTGCTTTTTATAGAGCACAGTGTCACTCTGTGGATTCCTACCAGTGCGAGATAAAGCCCCTTGAAGTATTTGTAATCATCCACGCCGATTAAAGTTTGCACACAAACAAAGGGAGGTGAAGCCCCCCCCCCCCCCCCCACCACGTCATTAAAGCCACCGTTTTAAAACCAATGGTGCAGGAATATGATTTTTTTTTTTTATTTGGTAAACATCCATTAATAGCGGCCTTTGCAACACACTTCCAGCAAAACTTGCTTAGATGCAGATTTTTAGCGTTGATCTGCGTGGAGGATACAGCTGTTCTGATCGTTTGAAACATCATTAGGCACAAGAAGCATCGTTACCCGCCCTCTGTAAAAATATGCTCCCATCTTCCCAGTAGGAACCCCCCCCCCCCCACCCAAACCCAAGTGTCTCTCCATCGTTTGTTTTGCAATACATATCTGTAATATTCTTCACTTGCTTAGAAGACTTAAAAACGCCTCATTTAAGATGAAAAACACCCAAATTGATGCCCTGGGGCTGTTTCCACTAATATGCATTTAATAATGATCCCTTTCTTATCATTACAGGCCAATTTTCCCTCCATCCTTATCTCCCAGTGCAACTATTCCATGTGAGCATTGCCGGGAGAGATTAGGATAATGGCCGCCCATGACACTCTGAGGACTGGCACGTGCTATCGGCGGACGGCCACGCCGCGCTCACCTCCACGCTGCGCGATAGCATCTGTCCGACACGGCGCTCTCCTCCCTTCCCTTCTAAGGCTATGAGTTGCTGGGCAACTCGGGACGAGGGATGAGTATGCAGGAGCGCTTTGTTGGCGTGTGCCTGTTGTTTTTAATGAATTAATTTGTAATAGGGCATCTTTAAACACATAAATATTGTGCTGTTGTTTTCTGTGGTGGAGATCCAGCCCATAATAGTATATTAAGCCACCTACTGTGGACCACCGGCTCAAACAGACGCACGATTGAAATTCCCGCGAATGAGTCAAATGGCGACTGACCCCTCAACATGAGTCCATATTAGCCATAGGCTAATGCTCACTTAGCTTAGATGGCCAGTAGTCGTGTCCTGAATGCCCCCCAATCAAGCACAGCGGGACCATCGGTTTCCCCGACACCTGAAGCCGCCACAATATAACCAGCCGTCGAAAAATCACAAATAACCTTCCACGGGTTTGTGGTTTGAAAGAGGGTAAAATAAATAGCGACAGTGGATGGTAGGCGGGGTTACAGGACCCAAAAGCAGAAGTATCTTCTTGGGTGTACGTTTGAAGACCATCTGGTAGATGGGAGGTCGGCTTCGGCGCGCAGTTGCCACGCGTCGAGAATGTCAGGCTGGCCGTCATGTTGCCGGAATTCCAATTTGTCTCCGCGGCCCGACCCTGACGTGGTTCCATCCTGCTTTAATAAAGAGCCTGGCAGGGCAGGAAACGGGGTGCGTCCGGGAGACAGGACGCCATCGCAGCTAAGTAATGAATACATCGGGCGTCTCCCCTCCACTCAACGGTGGGGGGGGGGGCACAGCAGGAGCAGGTGAGACCTGTGCTTGATTCAGAGCACTGATTGAGCCCCTCTGCCTCATGCCACACATGATGAAAAACACGCCTGTTGCCCATAACTCCTCTTCCTCCACATTTTCTCCTCTGCTGAGCACGGCTCTGTGACTGAGATCAACCGGCAGAGTGTAGAAGACTAGGTTCTGCAAGCCAGCGAACTAGAATGGCCCACTGACATTAATATGCGCTATTACAGATCTGTGAAATGCTTCTCTGGTAGATCTAAGATAATGCATTCGATAATCTATCAAAGCTTATACCAAAATACACCTATGACATATTTCACATCCCTGTTTATGTAGTTAATTTTTTGCAGGTTTATATACGGCGGTCTGTTTCCTTCTGACTGAAAGGCTGACAGTGTGGTTTATGGGAACAGTGATGTATGCATTGTATACAACAATGTATGCAATAACCGTTTTAAGGTCTTGTCCTTTTCATGAAGACAGTTTCAACAGGATGGTGATGCGAACACGCAGTACTGACGTTAATCAATTTTGCATTTCAAACTGGCAAATATAGCCCTGTGAACTGTCAACGGAAGGTGCATGAGGGAGGTTGACTTTTACCCCACAAGAATGAGGTCATAGACACCCTGATTGAAGCCAGTATGGCCTAAAATATGCCCGTCTTTGTTCCATTAACACTATTAAGTGGGATATTGCCAATCTGTCTTAATGTTAGTTAAGTAAGCCGCCATATTGAAAAATAAAAAGCTGCACTGTTTTGAACCAATATTGCATGCGATTTGTCTTCCCCCGCTCGGCAAAATTTAATGTCTGAGACCCAGGGTTTGGCATCCAGTATTTCTTCAACTTGAACATGGCAATCCAACATACTGGGGATACATGCTAAAGTACATATCATTCTCAGAACTAGCGATTAAAGCAATAACACAACTTTGAATTAGCATTTTGCTACATTAGCATTAGTAGGCACACTCATTAAGGGACAAAAGCAAGTCTCTGTTAGCTTCGTTAGCAGGGCCACTCACTTATTCTGGTGCTTGGAGCCCCGGAGGTGTGCGTGGTACTGCTCGATGGAGTTCAGGATCACGTTGCACACGTTGCAGGAATAGCTGCTACGCAAACCTGTTTGGAAGACGTAAAAAAAAAAAAAATCTCATCTCTTTAAGGTGCAGTTTTTCCATTTCAAGAAACTTTGTGCCGTGATAATACACCTGCAACAAACTGTGCATTACTGGAAAATACAAACAGATGGTTGCATAAATTCTAATATTGTTTGTTTGAATATTGCTTCATGTTTTTGAATATCATGGGGGCTTTTTCATTTTAAACTTGTTTACTTCAGAAACCCTGGGAACAAAATCAGGTTAAAAAAACATCTTATTTATTTTCCCATGTCACCCTTAAATTTGTTTCATGTGTATTTACGGAAAAAATGCTGTAACTGTACATTTGCAAGTTTTTTACCCATAATAGCTCATTTTGGCGTGGGAAAGCGTGCTTCTGAATACAGCCATCTTTGTCGAAAGGAGGTAATTAACACATAAGGAAATGAGAGATTCCGGCACTAGGGAACGTGACCACGGGGGGGTAATGAGATTGTCTATTTGGGGGCCTCAGCAGAAGGCCGCTTTCAGGCCACGGCGAAGCCAGCGAGAGCCAGGCAGCATCTATTAGCCGCGCCGCTGATGGAGAGGAAGCAGATGTGAGCTAATTAAAGCGCTCGCAGGTGGCGCCTGAAACGCAGAGGCCCGAAATAGACCAGAACGGACGGGGACGCGCAAGGAGGGGGGGGTGGCTGGGTGGGGGGAGCGAGATGCGGGCGGAGCCTCTTCATCAGCTCGTGCCGCTGCTGCCATCGACGGTTTACGCTTCTGCACGTGAGGAAACGCAGGGGTGGGGATCTGCTTACCTGGCATCCTGCACGACAGCATGCTACCCTGCTGAGTACGGAGATGGACATTCACTGCAGTTCCTGGAGTGGCCTCACAGCCCTGACCCGCACCACAGATACCGGCTCAACATGGCTGCCCCGACAGATGGCCGAACAGACTCTCAGAGGTCCACTCCTGACCTCGAACACATACACACCTATTTCTGCCTAGTGTTTAGCAAAATTTCCATAGCAAGGGGGGCTGATTCACAGCCATTTGGACCCCCAAGGATTTTTTTTATCCTACGACTAACTACTTGTCTTTGTTCCCAATTCTCAGTCGCCTTCCAGCTATTTTCAACGTATATTTTAACTGTTTTTTTTTTCACTCTGTAATGTTCCTGTTAAAATGTTAAGCTCTTTGAGGTAACTGCGCTCGGAAATGCAGTGTATGAGATTGAGTTCATTCAAACTGAAAAGAACTGTTGCAGTTAAACCACCTGCTGATTAAATGCTTTTTGTTGTTAAGTAACTAAGTCTGAGGCAGTAAATGAGAAGAAACTGACCAGGAGGAGAGAGGGTCGGCTGATGCCTGACAGTATATCCGGGGGCGTGTGGAATGTATCTCCAGCACTTGTGAGAGACGTCAGGTAGACAAGGAATCGACTCATGTGTCCATCTAGCCAGGCCTCAGATTTGAGGCCTATGAAAGAATGAATAAAAGCCAGCCGTCTACGCCGCTTTTCCACTGGCAAACAGGAACTGAACTGTACCCGAGTAGTACCGCGAAGAAACGCTAGTTACAGCGCAGTTCCAGTTCGCTTCCACTGCAGAAGGGGCGGCTCCGTAAAGGCGGGATTTGGAGAAAGACAGCGATGTAAAACCCAAGAGATGCTTATTTTCCAGTCACATGGTGTACATCATGATTTATTGTGTGCTGATTTCTGCTAGCATGTCTGTGAGAATCACTCTTATGTTAGCATCAAATCCTAGCGGAATTAGCATTCGTGATTTTGCATCACAAATTCATTGTACTTAGCTGCCATCTATAGTAATGTCTTAAGTAGGAATTTTTATGTTCTGAGTTATCGGGAGCACTTTGTGATGTGTGATAATACTAATAATGAACTATATATAACATATGGCCTTTTTCCTTCAGATAATCCATATATATCAATGCAGAACACCGGCATTTCAACCAATCAGGTGGTGGTGACACAAGCAGTCGGCTTGGTCACGATTTTGGCCCTGATAGTAAGCAGGGTCATGTCAGCACAGATACGGCACGGGTACGGTATGGGTATGACGTGGATACGGTGCAGGTGCGACTCGGGTACGGCGCGGCTGCTGCACAGATACGGCTCGGGTACGACATGGGTATGACGTGGATACGGTGCAGGTGCGACTCGGGTACGGCGCGGCTGCTGCACAGATACGGCTCGGGTACGACATGGGTATGGCTCGGGTGCAGCTCAGTTCTTGGTGGCAGTGGAAAAGCACTGTAAGTTTTCATCCACATCATCAACGGCCCACCTGTAATGTCGAATCCATTCAAAGTTGTGAAACCCACTCACCTAAGGACCGCACACAAGTTCCGGCACGACGGCCTCAGCCACATCTGAAGGACCCAAGAGTGAAATTTTAGGCCTGAAATGTCAGGTTGGTCCAGAATATGCCATCTTATGCCAAATTAACTGATTAGAGATTTAATTTAAAGTTGGATTTTCTGATTTCAGTCACTCGTCCCCTAATGTCCCCCCTAGGCAAAGAGCAGCATGGTAGAGTGACTGGCTAAGCCAGAATCTGCTGCGGAGCCCAAGGCCCGGGCCGATGCCAGCCTCCCGCCCACCAAAGCCTTGCTGTGATTCACGTCGTTTGTCTTAATAAAACCGGGGGAGGGGGGCGGTAGGGGGCTTTCAACGGACCTTCCAGCATTACCGGCGTCCCTCGCCAACCGTGGAGTGTCGCTAAGAAACCCATCTGCCAGGGCTCCATACTCGCCTGTGATCCCATGTTAATTAAAACACGACGATGGGGGGGGGCAGGGGCACCGGCAGCGAGCTCTGCGGACAGTCACGGTGTACGGCAACGGTTTCGCTCAACCAGACCAAATGTGTTTATTTGATTTGGCTAATTTAGCCCCTTCTCATACTGCGGATGCAAGCTGACCCGGAGAGATGGGGACCGTCAAATCAGAGATCCCAAGGAAGAACTGTTAGCTTTGGGGAGGGCAGGCAGTTAAAATAACTTGGCTTGCAAGGATGTCAGATGTGCCTTAGCCTACGGATTCCAAAAGGAAGTGAATTAGCCGCAGGATGCTTGCAGGAAGAACATTCCAGAGACTCCCTCAATACGGCAGAGAAACTAATAAAATGTCAGCTAAACAGTGTTCAGAATTAAGCCTCCCTCTCCCCTGACAGAGAGGCTGTGTTTCTAACAAGCGAGTGACGCTTCGTCATTACGAAGCCTGGATGCGCCACAGAAAACCGGTGGGAACTTGGCAGGCGTAGAGCACAGCATCTTACGCAATGCGAGAGACATTAGCGATGATGCTATCATCCCTCTCTGCGATTACCAACAAGGAAGAACGCATAGAGCAAGGGCCCATTGCCGAAACAGAGCACTTCTTTCCCCCCTAGTGGTAGTGGTAAGTAATGACAGCACGTTTTCTCCCCATGCCGTTCACATCCTAATTGGATTTTCGTTACCACATATATTCTCCAAAGGATTCTGACTTGGGGAAGTTTAATTATGGCCGCCAAGAAAGGGAATATCAAATAAGGACACAGGGACAGTGAATATTTCAGGGTGACAGCAATTCCAGCTCTTCGCACATTTAAGTCACGTTAATAAACTGACAGCGGCTGTACAAATTTACCTCTGAGAGTGGTGGTCAAGCTGCAGGGAGACCGTGAATACCAAACCGCACCCCAAATTGTGCCAAGATGAGGCCCTTGCAGGGTGAATAATTTATAAGAATAACGAGGTCAGCTTTGCTCAGACATAAACCCCGGCGTGAAAAACAGCCTTCCAGAGTGAGACGACCCAAAAGCGGCCAACAAATTGGGACACCCTGAGATCTGAAAAGTGTAAAATGTCTTTTCCTTTCACACGCATCACCAGCTTCAGCTCTGTTAAAGGTGAAGATGAAAATCTCAAACGGCTAAATACTTAAAAAATCTCATACGGTCACGTAGTCTTTGATGACTGATGTAATGTGATGAACATCAGCAGCGTATCTACAGAGCAAATGACACGGAACAGAGAGTCTTAAGTTGTTTACTCCCCATGACGGTAGAATGAGCTTCTGAAACACATTTGGTCATAAGATACCCCCCCCCCCACCCACCTCAAAGAAATGCCTGAAGCTCCATCTATCCCAGAGACACTTCCACTAGTCTATACCATCTCACATTTCCGGAATGTTCTTCATGTCCCACTTCTGCATATTTGAATTATAGTTTTATTAGGTTCTTGCTTCGTTTGGTAGATGTTCATACATGGGCTTTCACTGCTACACTTATGTCTAGTCACCTCCTCAACAGCCATATGTTTGTCATAGCTATCTTAGTCGCTTAGGACAAAAACGCTGGCTAAATAAAATAAATGTAAATGAATGAAAACGTATAGAGTAACTTTATACATGATCCTGTCTGATGAATGGGGCATGCATATCTATGAGTGAAAAGTGTCTTTATTTAGTCTGTATTGGGAGTTGGCTCTCCTGTGTCCTGGATGCCTTTCAGTGAGCAAAGTCGAACCTTCTGCTAACTTCTGCCGGAATGCAGGTGGCGTCGAGCTCAGCACCTCCCCTAGGGTTCACAGCAAACTCTTCTTCTCCCTGTCATAGTGCATTCAGAATCCTACAGATGATGTTTTGTCAGACTGAGGTCGGGACTCTGTGCTGGACATCCACTGTCTTTATGCATCATGTACACGCAACTCCCTTCAGGCCCTGAGATGTCCACTACTTCTGACGGGACAGTGCAAATGGGACTCAATGAGTCTACATTTCCCATTTGTGCTTATCTGATGGACCTCCTGTACAGCACAATGGTGCATCATCCTAATCTGTAGGCCCTGTATGCTACTGGATCGGATAGGAAGAAGAAACCGTGTTTGACCAGAGGTCCAGCGGCCACCAGGGGGCGCCCCGTCCGATCAGCCTGTAAGAACGGGAAGGAAGATGAAAAATGTCAGCTAGGGTAATTAAATATTGTTTAGGGACCCAAAGAAGGTTGGGGCCACCGTCCAGGGGTATAACCAGGGTCCATTTTTAGGAAGCTTTTTCCCAGGTTCCCCAAAGAGCCCCTTAGGCCCATCTGCATGACAGATGACTTGTCGTGTCTCCGTAAAAAGCCAGCGCGCCTCCGCGTCTGTCTCGCCCCGTTTCCCTCTCAGAAACGACAGCCAGGAGAATCTTGAAGTCGGGACGGATAGAAGAAGAAAAAACAAATCAGCGTCAGCGTCACAGCGGTCCCGTGTCACGGCGAAGTCGCCGCCTGCCAGGGCCTGCAGTCACAGAACACAGACTCGTAGGCGAGGGAGCGAAACGCAGCACGGACTCCGAGTGTAACGAGATGCGAGCAAAGCAAATGACATTCCCAAAGCAATTAATGCTGATCTCCGCTTAGACGGGTCTTCAAACACTTCATTATAACCCGGTGTTCTTCGATAATTAAGGCAGGTAAATGAAGTCAGGTGAATCAGCAGAGTGTATCATTTTCAACTTCATATATTACAGTCATACAGCCGAACAAAGGCACTCTATACGGGTGCGAAAAGGGTTTCTGGTCTCCTATTAACTAAAGCTCCTTTAATCCCACAATGACTCATTCTGCGAATCTGCTACTTTTAGGCTATAAACGCTAACGTCGGGGGTTTGAGGGAGAATAAAATATTTACAGTTTTATCGAGGCAATTCAGTGGTCATGCCCACTTAGCGGGGTCCTTTTACAGGTGACCGTGCCATGGCCTGATCCCCCCCCCCCCCCCCATTCATCGCGGTCTTTACAGACCGGAATGACCTTCACGGATGGAGGATCCGGAACATGCTTTTCCCAGCGGAATCGGCGCTGGCTTATCTGGATTCCCCAGGCAAGCTTTTCAAAGGCAGGTTTTCTGACACGGTTTACGGGTGATATGCAGAAGAGTCAAGGAAATGAGGGAGGGGCAGTGGGTGTGTGTGGGGGGGAGGGTATCTGTCAAGTTTATGTGTCACCTTTATAATCCAGGCCCATCTCCAAACCCCCCCAGAATCTATCAACCTTCTATCCATGCACCCTGATAAGACCCTCATCCTAAGCAGCCCCCCCCCCTACATTCCAGAATCCTGTGCCCCAGATGGGATTTTTTGCTGAAGCCTTAAGCTAAACTGTGAAGTGAGACCTTCTGGAGATGATGGCGTCTGCTGATCGATAGAGGAATTCGCAAGGACGTCCCTCCAGGAAGCCAACCTCCAGGAAGCCAACCTCCAGGAAGCCAACCACTGTCTGTGGTCTTTCGTGTGTCATTGATGACGGAAAAAAACAGGATGACGAGCACAGCGCCCCCCCCCCCCCACCTTGCCATGGTCCCTGTGGAATGCAGCCAGCCTGCATGGAGTTTGAGGTCAGGTTGGGTTTGCGGTGCCAGAAGCGGACCTCAGTGCCTCTCTGAGCTTCAACTGATGGCACTTTTTGCACTGGGCAGTAACAGCCAACAGGGGTATGGAATGGGGACAGTGTGGCTGAACCCTCACACACACACACACACACACGCATATCTGTTTGGCACTGAGACACACAGACAAACACACAGACTCACAGACACACTCAAACACAGACACACGCACAGACAAACACACACACTCACAGACACACTCAAACACACACACACACACACACACAGCCTAACAGATACACACACATAAACACACACACATACATCTGTTTGGCACTGAGGCACACAGACAAACACACAGACTCACAGACACACTCAAACACAGACACACGCACAGACAAACACACAGCCTAACAGATACACACACATAAACACACACACATACATCTGTTTGGCACTGAGGCACACAGACAAACACACAGACTCACAGACACACTCAAACACAAACACACACACTCACAGACACACTCAAACACAGACACACGCACAGACAAACACACACACTCACAGACACACTCAAACACAGACACACGCACAGACAAACACACACACTCACAGACACACTCAAACACAGACACACGCACAGACAAACACACAGCCTAACAGATACACACACAGACACATCCAGACACACACACAGTCAGACACTGTCTTGCAGGTTTGCTGCAGGTGTTTTTTTTTGGAGGTGTCAGTCGAGCGCCAAACGCGCGCGGCAGCTGCTGACGTGACACAGAGCATCCTAGGAGGATCTCCCAGAATACTGCAGCTAGGGCGACAGGTATACACTGGTTCCACTGGAACGGCCAAGCTCCGGCTGCCATCGTCAAGGACGCGGCCTGTTCCAAGCCGCCCGACTGACCTGCGGTTTCCGTGGCGTCCAGGCAGCCAGCCAGCTGCTCCAGCAGCCGCGCCCGCGCCGCGTTCCTCTTGTGCTTCTTGCCCTCGTAGTGCTGTCGCGCCATCAGCGGGTTGTTGAACCAGGCGCCGCACAGGCAGCAGAACTTGCCCGCCTCGCCGTTGGCCAGCGGCAGCCACATGGGAGGCAGCGGCGGGGGGGGCGGGGGAGGGGGGGGCAGCGGCAGCGGCAGCTGTAGAGGCAGGTCGACGGCGTGCGGCGTGCTGGGGGCGGAGTCTGTGTGCCACACAGGAAACCCAGTGTCAAAACGATGAGCTTCGCGCTTAATGCAACATGTAATTAATTCCCACTGAACACAGAAGGGCAAATTTATGTTTCACAGCAAATGTTACCCAGGGAGAAACGGCGAGTGTAAAAATAACCCGAGAGCTTCATCTAAGGAGGTTCAGCAGGAGGCCATAGAGACACTGGAGACTATTTTCCCTCTTGGATTTAATGGAAGGTTCTGCAATGTTCTGTCCAGGATGACGACCCTTCTGCATTTAGGTAAGCCTGTTGCCTTGGTAACTGGCCCCAAAGAGTTTACAGGTAGAACCCACCAAATAACGCAGAGGGTTCAAGGAAAGGTGCAGGGAACCTCAGGACAGTTGTGACGGTAGCAGATGTGTCACTTTTAACGCACGCAAACACTTTTTCGACAGACCTGTCACTCCAAAAAAGTAACCAGCTGCTCACCAGAGTGACAAAAATAGCAACTTTCTCATTCCCCCCCCCCCCATCACGCCTGGTGTGCCTAGATAGCGCTTATGACATCACTCCCTTGGTGCAGCACATCGTTACCATGACGAACCTCCTCACAGTCTCTTGTTAACGTACCGCAGTCACCCAGAGAACCTGTCCAGACTCATCACCCAACATTTTTTTTTACACTTTTGCAAAGACATCACAGACATGCCTAAAACAGATGCCAGAGGGAACCCTTCCACTAACGATGCAATACCATTTACTCCTTTCCCTGCCTGATAATATATATCCTATATTTTCAGTTCCATTCAGTTCCTTTATATACCATTTATGACTCAATGGATGCCCCAAACTCCTAATGAGCGATACGATAAACCCGCTGTGTGCTGGTCACAGGCAGTTAGCGTTAATGACGACGTCGCAGATGAAACAGCAATTAGCATTATGGGGTTTTAATTCATTGAAAAGGCCAGGAGGCAAAATGGGAGACGAAACACGCAGCCTCTGAGGTATGCTGAGTAGGAAGGGAAGAAAAACTGATAATGGCAAGGTGAGCGGAGTCCTCCGAGACAGAGAGGGACGCCGTTTGTTAATGTGTATCGGCAGGGTAGGAAGACGGAGATTGGCAGGCAGGGTGTGTGCGGTGTGTGTGTGGGGGAGGGGGACCCTAGTAGAGGAGGAACCAGCTCCATCCCAGTAGCCTGATTAAATGGGGAATAATATGAAGCAACTGCAGGGAGAGCATTTTAGTGCAGTGTTTTTATACAGCTTCACAGGCATAGAGAGAGGGGGGGGGGGTCAGACAGAGGTATGGAGGTAAACCACATGATTTTGTCCAGCATAATGTCAAGGGTATCCTGGTGGGGGGGGGGGTGACATAACATGGCCCCCATTTACAAATGATCTCCACCTTCCCTCAAAGAAATGCCCCCATCCTTGTTTCAACTCCTAACTCAGCCCCTGAACCCAACACCCGCTCTCTTCATCAAGCTCCAACAATCATCTGTGATTCACTTCATGAACATGTAGCTATTTCCTAACTCGGGTCACTTAAAGAAAAATAAAAACACACTACAAACCCAGGTCTAACCGGGCCTGAGATAAAGTCAGTCAGAGAAAGGGCTTAATGCATCGATCATTAACTCGGAAGGGGTCCGGTCCACCTGTCGATGATCTGACCCGACGTTTAAGATGGACGAGCTGGGTTCACCTTTCAGACCACTAAGGGCAAGGGACCACAAATTGAGTGAAACCTTGAGGGTTGATCAGATTGGGGTAGCTTGTGTGAGGCGGAGCTTCAGCTTGTAAGCTCCATGAAGACGTAGCCGGTCCACTCGATGGTGCCGTTACACTCGATGGCGCCGTTCAGGCGAATTCACTCTATGTGTGTTTGTTGGCTTGGCGCCTCCTACTGGCTGGCCCTTGCCTAACACCCTGTGCTGCCCCTGAGTGGATGTGCGGGTGCTGGAGGCAATGGGGCGATAATGAGGCTGTGTAATCTGTGCTGCGGTTAATATGGGTCTTACAAGCAGGGGAGCCGTTTCGCCTCCTCGATAAGCTCCTCATTAGCGGGAAGTTAAGGATGTTTCCGCTTAATTAGGCTATCGGCCTCCTCAATCCAGGGCTCACTCATTGTGGCCGGTGTCACTGCAGCTCTCGCCGGGGGGCAGCCGGAGGAGTCCAGCCCTGCCCGAAGTCTCTTGCCCCTCACGCGCTTAATGGTTTGCCAGATGGCTGGGGGGGTTCGCGTGTCGTGCACGATTAAAAACCAGGACACCGCTGCTGTTTTCACCAGGAAACTCGTGTTTCTAGCATGTGCCGTTAGTTAGGTTAGCACCTTAGGGGGATGTCAATGGAATTAGCGGAATTATGATGCCGAAGATGATGATGGCGGAAAGATTTTGGCAAATTATATGCATGACAGTCTTTCGGAAGCGGAAGAATCACTCCTTTGTTACAGTGATAAGGAAGCCATGGCGTGAATGGAGAGAATTCTCCCTTCTGAGAGTGAGACTCCGCCCTCACTCCAAAACAACCCAGTGGTTTTGACCTCTGCCAACGCAATTGGCTTCATTTTTCTCATACAGATTCTACACGTCGTTATGATGTGACTCTCATCCACCCATTTTCCATACCCGGTTATCCTACGCAGGGTCGCGGGGGGGGGGGGGGGGGGGGGCGGGGGGCGGGGGGGGGCATAGCAGAGACACACTCACCATTCAGACACACATTCATGCAAAGGATATAATAGCCACCCAGGTAACCATTACCCTTACCTGTTTGAGGAATCTAGCAGTGTTTTGTTAACTGGGAAAACTGACTTATTTGGGATTTACTCCCCTTCTGGGGCACATGTGAGCAACACATTGAGATTCCTGATTAATTATAGTAATCATTTCTTAATCAATACTTAATCAATATTTAATATCGATGTAAATCACGGTTATGTCTGCTCAGCTGGAAGGAGCGGCTTCTGTGGGCCAATAAGCCGGGTTCTTCAGAGCCGATCGTGCAGATTCTGCCTCTTCTGGGCTGCTGAGGTTAATTTGGATCTTTTAAGCAGAGGAGCTGTCAGAAGAGCCGAGCCTGTGGTGCCCTTGCCCGCATTGCCGGTGAGCTCCACCGGAAGGCGGCCCCCCCCCTCCATGGTGTCTGTTCCCCTCAAATGCCTCAGCTATCAAGAGCAGAGTGGGCAGACGCTACAGTGAAAGGTTTTTGATTTCCCACACGGCGTGAGTAATGTCACCGGGCTCAGCAAGGCAACAAATGAAATGAACCCAAATCTGACATTTATGGTTTGAACCTGCGGCTCAAACATTGTGCTGATTTCGATTTCTTTAGCCGGCGCTTTTGTCTGGAGTAAAACTGAACGATCCGGGGGAAACGGCTGATTTGTTGAATCGGCGCTAGAACCACAATTTAGGACCTGAAAAGAGAAAATGCAAGGTGACAGCGGTGGGGGAGGTGGGGGGGTTCTCGCTGATGGTCTCTCGGGTGTTTGGGGGTCTCTCTCACTGACGGTCTCTCCGGAGTGAGGGGGGGGGTCTCTCTAGCTGACAGTCTCTGCGGATTTGAAGGCCCACACAGCAGATTGCTCCCTCCGCAAAAACACATAAATGCTTCCTTTGCGAATCTGAAATGGCAGCGAATCACATCCCCTGCTGTCCCGGTTTTTACTATTGCTGCACAGTAACATCCACCAGATCCCGATTCACGGCAGGTCTAGTCTGGATTGATCTGACGTGCCTGTAGCACACTAGGCTGCCTTGGTAAGGAAATCCTCACGTGACAAACAAAGGACTCCAGCGAGAGGAACCAATGAATTGAGGTCTGCGTTCAAATTGGGCGTGTCAGTCATACATCCTACGCTTTGTGACTAAATCACAGGTTCTACTGCATTTTGAAAGCCACGACAAGGTGAGCCAGCTGATATACAAAGCAGCTTCTTAGCAAAAATTTGTCCTGTGGTGTTTGTAGCCCAGAGTCAGTTTGGCTCACTGAAGTCTAACGGTTTTGATGCGCGTATGTATGCATGCACTTCTCTGGGGCAATGTCACCCTCCCCAGCTTCCATGTACCATTGTCTACAGCAGGAGTGGGTAATCGTATCCAAAAAGGGCCGCAGTTTATGTGGGTTTTCGCTGCAACTCCATAATTATATTATTAATTAGAGGACTGATTGGCTGAAGAGTCCTGACACCTAGGTTTGAACGGCTGACCTACAGGTTATCCCAGAATCCTGCATACGCACTGGCCCTTTGAGAATAACATTGCCCACCCCCGATCTACAGCCACAATCCTGATTTATCAGCCCCTACCAGTAGGGGGCCTGAAGCCCTCACGGGTCTCTTCCACACAACAGACTGGGTCATTCCTGACTGAGACACTTGCATAAATGCTAATGCCTATTAAGTAATCGCCACTGGAGTTTCCATGGAAACATCACAGAGTATTATTCATACTGCCCATCTCTCAGCGACTCCTCCAGGACCTTGTGCTCAGCAGGTGATGCTGGTGCAGTTTTGGGGTCAGCTCTCCGAAACCAATAATGAGAGTTTGTTCACAGATTCAGAGCTGAGGAGTAAACTATGCATGCACACTAGCATGGCAAGACGACCCAAGGTGTTCAGTAGCAGAAAATAAGTGCACAAGTATTTTAATGTATTAATTAAGAAGTAATGAAATTCAAATTGCCAGGGTGGGTTTGTAAATCGGGTCAGACAGTCTTGGACAGAATCCTTAACCTTAATTTAAATCCCTGGAAATATGGGCCTAAATCGTGGATGGGAAACGGAGCCTTGTGCGTGGGGGCGGGGTTGGCACATACCTGTGGGAGGGGGCACGTTGGGGGGCTCCCCCAGCACTAGGCGGACCCTCTTGGCGTGTGTCTTGCCCTGATAGTGGGACTGTGCCACTATGGCCGACGTAAAGAACATGTTGCAGAGAGTGCAACATTTATTCCGGTCAACTTCTGTCTCAGCGCTGTCCTGGGGGGTCGTAGGGGGAGGGAGAGAGAACATATGAATGGAGTGCTGCAGAGGTGGATAGTTTCAGTGCGGAAAGTAAAAATCCAGACCAAGATTTCATTTCAACCAACCAGCTGAGTACTCTGTGTCTGTGACTATTTCCGCTCAACCGGTTGGTTGAAACAAAACCTTGGTCTGGATTTGTACTTTCTGGACCTGAACTATCCACCTCTGGAGTGCCATTAATTCTCTGCTCAGCACAACATGAAAACAACATTCCCATATATTTCCACTAGCGAAGGATAATCGGGGACAACTGTTGTATTATTTATGATCTGAAATCCCAATAGAAGGACTTTTATATCCAAGATGAAAGTTCTTCATCTGGTTCTGCAAATTTCCCGCTGACTAAACGTGTGTCACCATGTGAACCTTACAGGTGACTGGCATTTCACGCTGAGGCATTTATTACCAATGTCTGATCTTTAATCCAAAGTGATTACGGTCATTTATACATCTTCACTTCCAGGCTTGGTCCAGATGGACATACCCGATTTTCTGGAAGACAGAAAAAACCTGCTGTGGATGAGAGCCAACCGGGCTGGACCGACAGTGACAGAGCAGCTCCATCCTCCGCATCTATATTTTATGCACGTGTTTCGTAATGACATTTGGGGGAGTGCTTTGGCTTTTGTCCGAAACACTGAGCAGGAAGGTGCCCCCCCCCCCCCATAGACAAATCGAATGAAGTCTGTCTTTGAGGGAAGGGCGAGTTGGATCGACACAGTCTTCCTGCCCTGGGGCCTGGGCTCCGCCTACCATCCTCGATATCTGCCTTGATTGACAGCCAGGGGAGCCAATGGTATCCAAGGTCCACAGAGACACTGAGGCCCTGCCTGCCATAGCCCTTAACTACGAGGAAGCAAAGCTGCAGAAGAAGAACGAAGCCATAATGAATGAGAATGACAGGCTCTGACGGCCCAGGAGCAAGAAGCGGGGCTGGATTCGAAACCAGACTGCACAGCGTGGACCGGTCCTTTCGCAAATCCCTAATGGCTGCCACAGGCCAACATATAATTATGTGGGTATAAACAGTCAATTAGTGAGTTAATTAATTAGTTCAAGTGGCACTTCTGTTTGCATAGCTAAGGAAGTTTCCGCTTTGGACAGTTGAGCACATATTTATCGATTTTGGTTCAGGGCCAAATGCCGTAAAGAATTGTGGCGGGCGGGGGGGGGGGGGTTACCTTTCAGAACCGGGTGCCATTCAGCAAATCCTTAGAACAATTTGAGAACCGGACATACATCCACCCCCTGTCCCTGATGCATGGTCCGGTCCTCAAGAGTGTCCCACGCGTGTATCACGGAAGTCACGTGTCCGGGGCTGGCTTTTGGCAGAGCACGGCAGCACGTTTAACATCATGACTTTTCAAACTTCAAAGGAGATCATACCCCTGGGCAGCGTTTCCCAATCCGGTCCTCAGGGTCAGTCCATGTTTTTGCTCCCTCCCGGCTACCGGTAGGAAGCCAAAATGCAAACTGTCTGGCAGGGAGCTGGGAGGGAGCAAAAATATGGATCATCTCTGGGTCCCTGAGGACCGGGTTGAGAAACGCTGCTCAACAGGGTACGCACCGACTGTGCAGATGTCCTTCCAGCTAGCATGCGGTTTCTCTAGCTCAGTATAGCTACAGAGGCAGCCTGAGACACGTTTGCCATCATCTGCTACCAGAAACCTGGCGGTGGAGTTTCCATAGGTGATAATACCTTCCCTGCAATACAGTCTACAGCCCAGCCACAATTTCACACATTCAAGAAAAAAAGGCTGCAAATTACACAAAAATACATCTCTGATACGCACCCCCCCTCCAGAGACACACACACATGGAGCGCTGTACTGCAGTGTGGTGTGGATCTCGCGCACGGCCCATTTCTGCCTGTTGTATACAATTGAATGTTTATGTTTATTTTTACATGTTTGTGTTCCCACTCTCTGTTGGTGTAGACAGCATAAAGCATAAAGACGGGCACTTTTAGCTCTTTCTAATTAGCTGTTTGCTTGATTATTTTCGTTTAGCCATAACCTCCGATTCCGTGTCAATTAAACACCACATGCATGTTTTTTTTTAACAGCAGGTTTAAATATGTTGGGTTCCGTGCTTTCAGACACTCCCTCAATACACAAACTATGGTGCGGTGTTGTGTCACATTTTGGAAATCACCCCAGGAAACCATAAACGATCCGCACCTCTCAGTCTCTGCTGACACAACAATCAGTAGAGAAGGGACGGTTTAGACCAGGGTTCTTCAACTCTGGACCTTGATTCCAAATCCAGGCTTTGTTTTCAGTTCTCCCAGGTAGTTGTTTAATACTTACTGATTCTGATTGGTCAGAGGCTTCACACCTGACTGACAGGTAAAGGAAGGCTGGAAAACCAGCAGTGCTCGGACCTCGAGGACCGTGATTTGAATAACCCCGATCTATAGTGAAGGCCAGAGGAAGCTTCATGATCCACTTGCTGTATTTTATGGCCCCAATAGATGGTAGCGTCTGTTCAAAAAAGGACTCAAGGCATGCCCCAAAGCAAGCCAAGAGCACCATCTAGTGGGGCCAAAAAATACAGCAAATGGTTCATGAAGCTTCATTTGGCCATCACTACAGATCAGGGCGCTTTAGAGTTATATAATCAGAGGTAATTCCATCGATGTCATTTTCTTCTGTGTTTCCCTTCTGAGTCAGCTGTCAGAGGGGTCCCCAGGGGTGAATCAATGGAGTTAAAAGCGTGGGACACTGTCAGGTGATGTTTTCGGACACCTGCCATGAAGGGCCCCACACTGCTTCTAATTTTCGGGCTGCTTGGCCCCCCACCCGGCACCCACCCCCCTAACCGGAGGCAGTGTCGTCTCTTGCTACGCACATACTGACATCAGCAGAGTCGCTTCGAGTAGCCCCACCCCACCTCCCACACAGAAACAATAAAAAAAATACCACCCCCCCACCCTCCACATTCCTCTCTGCTCTCCTTCCCCTCCACTAGCATCTCTCCAGCTCCCATCTGCTCCCTTCCGCTCCGTCGGAGGCCGACAGAACTGAGCTCAGTCTAGGAGGAACGCTAAAAATGCTTCACGTAGCAGCATGTGACCATCCAATCCCATAAGGGCGCCCCCCGGTGTTTGCACTGCTGCGTTACGGCCAAGCGCCACCAACCGCTCAGCGCTCCAAAACCTAAACCCAGAAACTTCCAACACCGTGACCAGGAATGTATCAGTCCCGCCGTCACCCTGAGAGCCTGCAGGCCGCTCTACTGCACACCCATGCGCCATAATAATCGGATGCCTTAAGCTGTGTTCATATCGCATGCATCAGTCATTAGTAGGAGATTGGTTGGGGATTTGAACGCTGCCCCCTAGGGGTGATTAAGTGCAATTTTGAGCCACCCTGTCAAAAATCACACTCATTTTAGTGGTAGCCACTTCCCCCATAGGGACGAATAAAACACAACTGTCCTAATCCTACACCTGTGATGAGTGTGTGCATGTGCCTGGGACCCTGGCCTGGGTGGGGTACACTGCCCCCCACTATTAGATAAGTGGTTAGATGATGGCTGTGTAGATTATGACACATATAACAGGCATTATGACGGCTCAGCAGTCAGCGGTTTGACCTGGCGCCTCTAGGCTTCTGCTATGTGTTTGTGAGTTTAGGGTGCATTCAGCCTGCATTTACACTGCTGTGTGTGGCGTTTACAGCTCCTTTATGTGTGTGTCTGTGTGTGTGTGTCTATCTGTGACTGTGTGTGTGTGTGTGTGTGTGTGTGTGGATTAGGTTATATTACATTATGGGGGACCAAATGTCCCCCACAACTGAATAAAAACCTGTTTTTTGACATTGTAGGAAGCATTTTTCAGGTCCCCACAAAGATCTCTGAATGCAATCAAAAATGTAAAAATGCCGAAAGTCTCATATTTTGTTTGGTTACTTATGGTTAAGGTTAGGGCTGGGTAGGGGTTAAGGTTGGGATTAGAGTTTTCCCAATATAAATGAAGGGTGAGTCCCCACAAAGATATAATAACAAATCTCTGTGTGTTTGTGTGTGTGTGTATATGTGTGTCCTGTCTGCGGCCCCCCAGCCACGTCATAACCCTGCACTCAGTATACAGTCACGTAAGATGGATTGATTCACCATCGGATCACCTTGAGAACATTTCAATCCACAGTCCACGTGCCTCCGTGACCAATACATTAATAAATACGGGGGTCTTTTGGGCTGCAGCAAGTGGGTGGGGGGGTGTTTATTCCCACAGGGGGGTGATGAGGGAATATGAAAATGACTCTGCTTAATTATACTCTAATTACCCACCAACTCGCGTTGGAGGCAGAGGGTAGATGCATGTGTTTCCCCCTAGAGGACCTTCAATTAAAATGCACCCTAAACACAAGGGATAAAAGGATTTTAAAAAGGTACGTTTTCAGAATCTTAAAAATCAGAGTCATGTCTGAATCCCCCCCCCCACCGCGTGTCCATTACCGTGGAGACGTGTGGATGCTATAGTGAGGAGGCAGAAGGACAGCAGTGTAATCGTAACGACAAAAATAACAATAATATAATAACTGTGAATCTTTTGAATCTGCAGCTGCACTGGATTGTTGTGATCTCTAGCTCTTAACGATGTGTTGGTGATTTTAATTAAATGCACGATGGCCCTCTCTACCCACGCTGGGCTCCAATAGTGTGCTGCCACCCGCAGGGGGGGGGGGGGGGCTGGGGGTGTAGCAGTAAACAGGAACAGTATAAAAAAAAGTCAATTATGGGACGCAGGCGGCGTCACACTGGGGCTATTTTTCTGAAAATGAAGAGAATCATCCTGCGAATCTGGCCGTTTAATAAGCTTTTTTCTGGACACTTTGTAATGGGTGTGATGCAGTGATGTGATACAGTTAGGGTATGCTTTCTCATGACACTGTTTATGTGGGGGGGCGGGGGGGGGGCAGTCAATCCTTTACATGTTATGGGTGGCCATCTTGGGCTAACTTAGCAGGTTTGACCCAAGTATTTCAATGAAGAATAGAACAGCGCATCTAACATGGGGGAGTTTAAACTGAGCTGATTCACCAGTACCCAGAGGGAAAGTTGGGGGGGGGGCACCTCTCAAGATGGCTGCCAGGGGAGATCTTTCTCTACCCCTTCAGAGTCAGACCCGTTGTCTTCAACAAACAGACAACTTGGGTGGGACAGTCCTGGGACCAGGCGAAGGAAACCAATTTAAAAAAAAAAACAGCCCCCAGAATACTGACTGGCACCCTCATGAATGCATCCCTCTCGCCCCCCTGCCAAGTTTCTAACGAGCTAACTAGTGCAAGCCAGGGCTGCAGTTACACACTGCAGTTACACACTGCAGCCGCCTGGATCTTACGCGGGGCTCGTTAATTCCACTTACGGTAATTATCATTGACTACAGAGAGATTGGGGTGGGGGGCTATTGGATGGGGCGGGTGTGTGAAAAATGGGCCAAAGTTTTGCTTTTATCAGGCTGTTTTCTGCATTTTTAAGGCAAAGGATCAGGCAGTGGGAAGATAAAAAGATGAGAGACGGTGGCGGCGGCACCGAGTTTGTCTTCCCTTCCCAGCAGCATACGGGCACACAGCATGCCGGGCCAGAGAAGTGCATTATGGGAAAGGCCGGCCGCCAGCACGTTCCCACCGTGGGCGCAGTCTACGCTTCCACGAGCCGCCACAATCCCCTTAAAAGCAGGAACCATCTGGAAGGGCGGGATGCGCAGTGCCGCTGGGTCCGGCTTCCGCATCTACGGTCGCCATATTCCGGCTATGCCATGGCATGTGATGATTGCAGTAATATCTCGGGATTCGGGGGCTGTGCCGTTGAAAAATGTTACGTGCGAATGTAACGTGTGATGGTGAATGTGAGCCGCACACCTAAAAGAGGAATAAAGTGGAGACGGAAAGTCACCTGCCCTGATTTCTTTGCTAAATACCCAGTTTTAAATGCCAGCTACACCAATTAAGAGAAGATGGGTTTACGCATCTTGTTGGAAGGTCCAACAGGAGTGCCCCTGATAGTGTGCTGTGGGACAGGGGGTACATACCGGGTTGTCTGGCCTCAGTCTCTTGGAGGGGGGCCCCCCGTCCTCAGGGTGCAGCATGTAGAAGAGACGTACCTTGTTGGCATGCTTCTTGCTCTGGGTCGGGGAGGGGAGAGAAGAAGGAGGTTTAGAAGCCAGTGGAGGGTTTCCGGAACCTCGTCAGTTTGACTCCCGCAAACAGAACCTCACCCCTGTTTTTGCAGCAACAGCTAAACTCAGCACCCAGAGATGCTGTACGACTAACAGCAGTGTGTGGTGGGGGCGGTTGAGGGTGCATCTCCTGTCAGGAAGCCTGCGATCTGCTGCCAGACCGAGGAAGAGGCCCACTAGCAACCCGACACCCGTGTGACACACGGCAAGGCGCCCGCGCTCGTTAACGTCACCTGCGTCACTTCACACGACAACAGTGCTGCGTGAGGCTCCGCTGTGGGACGTACGCTCAGCCAATGACAGGTTTACTTTTCAGCAGGGATGGGGGGGGAGGTCACGCCAAAGTGGAGAAGAGACTGGTGTGCCCACAGATCAGAAAGAAGAAGTTAATGGAATGAGCTACACTCCCTGTTTCCTGGTGCAGCAATTCCACCTGGAGGTACTGTCTGTGTGTGTCTGTGTGTGTCTGTGTGTGTGTGTGTGTGTCTGTGTGTGTCTGTGTGTGTGACTGTGTCTGTGTCTGTGTGTGTCTGTGTGTGTCTGTGTGTGTGTGACTGTGTCTGTGTGTGTGTGTCTGTGTGTGTCTGTGTGTGTCTGTGTGTGTGACTGTGTCTGTGTAGCAAATGCTGGATAAACGTCTGCCGTTCAGCTAGAAGAGAGAGAAATGGGATAACCAAGCTGCCAAAAATCTGAAGATTTTATTCAAACTTTTTATTACAGACACAAAACCAGGGTCACGGTGCAAAAATCAAACAAGACACACAATCCAAGCAGCTAAAATCATGCACTGCACTGCACTGCACTGCACTGCACCAAAAAACAAAAAAACAAATACTAAAGTTGCCACCTCCTTGATTCTGCCCAGTGGGCCCTATTTATCCCTAACAGGGTAATGATCTTAATCACAGACAGCTGGCATTCATTAGCTGAGGCAGCAGTGACTGTGGGACCAGTGATTAGGTGCCGTTTGTTAGGAAGCTGGCTAATGACTTGCTAGTTTAGACCGAGCCTGCTTCAAGACTGAAAAAACATAATTCCGAATGCCAACACTTGCTAAACAACGGCTCCATCCTCATGTCTGTCACGCCCAATTAGCTATGCAAAGTGAAATGAAACAGCCAATCGATTAATAACTGAAGCACGCGCTAGCGATCGACACAAAACCCAAGAAAAAGTTCTGAGTAGCTACGGACTGGGAGTCAATGGTTAAAATGAGATCTATGGGCGGACATAGAGGAGACTCCCGTCGAGCAAGCAGGGGCTACAGAGATACACAGGGGATATGAAACAAACACTTTTTACCTCAGAAAACGCATCCCTTTGTAAATTCTTTATAATCCTCTTAATAGGCCTGCGTGTATATTTTCCTAAGCGAGGTTTAAAAGCACCTCCATTATTTTCGAGAGCGTGTCAGCACTGAGTAATTACACAGTCTGGCCCTCGTTCCCACGTTGGGACGGTGTCAAAATAATTCACGTGCCGTCGCTGCTGGAGGCGTTCCGCTCCGGGCGCTGCTGGCCTCGGCGCCGGGGAGAAGCCCTCGTCTCCACTTTAAACGCGGAAAGTCCGTCCCCGTTTCTGCCAGCTGGCCTCAGTGTCCGGCCCGGCCTCAGTGTCCGGCCCGGCCTCGGCGACAGGCGTGGGTGACGCCCCTGGAGGATTCCAGAACTGGCCACTAACGAGACGTGATTACGCTGAGGTCCCCTGGGCCCGGGAATGGCTACAGTTAATTAGGCACATGCGTGGTTACGGATCGAGATTCAAGATTTCATTTGTCACATGCACAATGATACTGCTGCAACTCGCAACGTAAATCTGGCTTCCCCCTATTTATAAATAAAGGTTCAATCAAATTTAATTGAATTATGGTGGGACAGCGGACAGCATGATTGCATCACTTTCTGGAGAGCAGGTGTTCGAATCTCTGCCCTGGCATGTCCTCCCCGTGTCATCGTGGGGTTTCCTCCAGGTTCTCCGGTTTCCCCCCACAGTCCAAAAACATGCCGAGGCTAATTGGAGTTACCAAAGTGCCCATGGGTGTGCATGCGTGAGAGTGAATGGTGTGTAATTGTGCCCTGCGCTGGGTTGGCATCCCATCCTGGATTGTTCCCTGCTTTGTGCCTGTAGCTTCCGGAATAGGCTCCGCCCCCCATGACCCTGAATAAGATGAACAGGATGAAATGGATGGATGTATTGAAGTTAGGGGGGGGGCTGTAAACAAAGGCAAAACAGATGATAAATTAAAGGCTATGTATAAAAATACTATTTAGAAGCCAGTGTGCATACATTTTGCATGGTAGATGGTGTGCAGTATATACATACAGGAAGAACATACTGATGCAGTGAAGAGGAATAAATAATTAACAGACTGTTATAAAGAAGTCAGGTTTGCTCAGATTTCTGTGGATCTAAGGTGTACAAGCCTTGTTTTCACACTGAGGGCCAGAAAATGACACGGTGACACCCTGTCTATCCCATCTCGGGGCATTTCTGTCTCTGTGAAAGAGCTGTATCTGGCTGTCCTCGTCAGAGTGACGTGCTCTCACAGGAAAGACACCGTCTTATTTATTTAACGTCCTGAGACGGTTGCACGTAGCGCGGCGCCCCCAGCGGAATATCACTGACGGCAAGGGGACCATTGCGTCATGCGCTTTGCTAAAGTTTCCGATTCAAAATTACCCAAAATGCATTGTTGCACTGGGAATGGGGGGAAAAAAAAGATAGGGGCCTCGCGTTTTTCACTTTCTGCTGTGTACTCAACCGTGTCAACAGAAACCGCATTGCTCTGCATAAAAGTGCATGCTGAGCATCTGCATAATGAAAAAATACCTTTTCAGCATAGTGACGTCATTGAACTGTAAGACTGACCCTTGACCCCTGACCTCTAACCACTGACAATGCTGTTCTGGGCATGTCGGCTGCCACTGCACAGCCCTTTGATTCCTGCTGTTCCCGCCGTGCGAAGAAGCCTGCAAGCTGCGGGGGCAGGAATCATCTTCAATCGCACTGTCTGCTAAAAATACACAGCCAGTTTATATTATATACGCGTATGTACCATTAGCTTATGTAATGTAGCATTCACACAAACAGGGGGCAGCAAAGGGAGTAGGGCATTTGTGAATGAGTGTGTGCGCTGATGAGAAGCCCCGTGTCCTCTCCGGGCCTCGGGGAGAGAGGGAGACAGGGATCAGAAAATAACGGGTGCCTTTGCGTCCCGAAAAAGAGAACGAACGAGCCGTGTTACGGAAGGAGTCTACGGCAGACAAACCGCGCTTTGTAGGAGCGCACGCGCTTTGCTGTGCAGGAGGAGTACCGCAGGAGGAGTACCGCAGCCCGGGTGATGTGAAGCAGTGGGGGGGGGGGTCTCAGTTAGTCTCTCACGAGCTGTCAGGCAGCTTGGCAGGAGTGACTGGCACTATTTCATAAATGTACATTAAAAAAGAAAAGTCCGGACATCTAAAAGCAGTTTGAGGTTTTCTGATGAGCTACGGACTGAGAGTGTAGTTTTAAACCCCAGGGGCAAGGAGGGGGGGGGGCTTTAATCAGTGAGGGAAAGGTCCGGAAATTTCCATTTCCATCATCTTTTCCTCTCGCCATCTCCCTCAGCCACTCGAGGAATGGAACAGAAGCTTTTGCTCTCAGGGTGGAGGGTACAAGGACCATCTCAGTGCCAGAGGCACAGGCTGTACTCTCCAACCCCCGCCCCCCTTTAACACTTTAAGAGCATCTCTCCATCCATCCTACCAGGGACCTCCCTCATCACAGGTGGGGGGGAGGGGAACTGTGATTTTTAGTCTCTGATATCAGAATTCAGACGCAGCCTCGTGTACAGTCCCCTACAGCCCCTGTATTTACCTTCCAAAGACCGTAAGAGAGTTACTGATGCTTTACCAAGGTGAGTCAGCAGGTGGCATGGTAATTAAGGAACTGCACTGATTATCAGAAGGCTGCTGGACTGAAACGACACCCGAAAATATTAAGGGGAGAAGCACTTCTAATTAGTATGTCTTGTGTTTTTGTGATTAAGTGCTTTTGTGATTAAGCTGTTGTTCGTGGGGTTGCGAGGACGCTGGGCTGACTCACCTCGTAGTGCGCGATGCGCTGGGACTCGGAGATCAGCTGGGCATTGCAGATGTTGCAGTAGCTTTCTGTAAACAGGCCACCCTCTCCAACCCCCGCCGACTTCATCTGCACGCGGGCACAAGGGACACGACGGACACGGTGTCAGCATGAAGCCCGACTGCCCCCGTACATCAACGTCAACTCTGTTCGAGCAGCACTCCTGTGCGCTGAGCAAGTGGGACTTTAAGCAGGACAAGGTGTTACCAGCAGTGAGGAGTCACTGCGGAGGGCTGCAGGATGCAGACACCTGCTCGGGGTGACAAAAGGAGTGACAGGTACATTCAGGGTGAAGGGAATCTTAGCGAGCTAGCGGCTAAACACAGGGGTCGAACTGAGGACGTTAGCGAGCTAGCGGCTAAACACAGGGGTCGAACTGAGGACG